AGGACTGGGGGGGTCAGCCCCCATCTCCAGCTTCCTCTCCCTAGGGTCTGCCTCGCGGTTCGTCCCCACCGTCTGCAACGGTCGCGAGGTGGTGGACTCCACAACATCGTCGCTTTGAGGACCCCGCACCCCGCCTCGCCCGGCACAGCTGCTCCCCGGACGGTGCCGGGAGGAAGTTGGCGGGAGCACTGCAATAAGCCAGCCCCACGCCCGCCCCCAGCACTCGCCCACCTACTCCCCGCACTCAGCCACTCCTACAGCCGCCACCCACTGCCCTGGCCGCTTCCCCGCCAGGCCCAGGAGGTGAGGGAGCAGCCAGGGGCCACGTGACCGGGGCCACGGCGGCTGAGGACGGCAGGCCCCATCCCCGTCAGCAAAGGTGCTTCCGGCCCTGCTCCGACTCCTTCTGCCCTTTACGTCTTTTCTATGAGTTCTTCCGGGGTGGGCGTCTTTTCTATGAGTTCTTCCGGGGTGGGCGGGGGTCGTGCTGGGGCTGTCCCTCGCCCGCACAGTAGTTTGCCCGTGGTTTATTTTGTATTACCTGTAAATAAAGTGTCTTTATTTTAAAATATCCCTCTCGGCCCGTACCCAGGGAGGTCCTCACACCAGCCACAGGCTCCCAACCTTCACGCTGCCAGCGTTTGTGGACGCCGCTCTGTGCCTGATGCTAGGACCTGGTGGGGAGACAGACGACGAATAAGCCAGCCCCTCTCTTTTTTTAAACAAGATTTTATTGTAGTTTTTATTCACTCCCACCCGAGTGTATTTTCCCATTGATCTTTCTAGACAGAGGAAGGGCGGAGGAGAGAGAGAGACACGTTGCTGTGAGACAGACACAGCGGGTGGTTGCCTCCCGCACTCCGGGATCCAGCCTGCAACCGAGGTCCCTGCCCTTAACCGGAATCCAACCTCGGACCCTTCAGCCTGCGGGCCGACGCTCCATCCACTCAGCCACCCTGGCCAGGGCAAGCCACCCTCTCTTAAAAGCTGCCACTGCAGCCCCAGCTGGTTTGGCTCAGTGGATAGAGCGTCGGTCTGCAGACTGAAAGGTCCCCGGTTCGAGTCCGGTCAAGGGCACATGCCCAGGCTGCGGGCTCAATCCCCAGTAGCGGGCGTGCAGGAGGCAGCTGATCAATGCTTCTCTCTCATCATTGATGTTTCTATCTCTCTCCCTCTTCCTTCCTCTCAGAAATAAATAAAAATATATTTTTTAAAAAGGAGCCACTGCAGACTGGCCAAGGCAATGCCAGGGCTTAGCAGCAGGTTCACATGGGCACGAGCTCAGGGCACTCCAGTGGGGGACCTGGATGGCGTGGGTGATGGGGCAGGAGGGCGCTGGCTGTGCCCCGGGAACTGTGGGCTCTGCCGCTTGGAGGAGCCCCCTCTCCCCGACATTGGTCAGCACGAGCCAGGCTGAGCGTTTGGTGTGAGGAAGGAATCAGAGAGGAGGGGTGGGTTCCCCTGGTGCGAACCAAGTCAGAACGAGCTCGCGAGGTGGGAGGAGATGGGAGGTGAGGGCAGAGGCTGGGCAGGGGAGAGGGGGGAGGAGAGGGCCTGGCGGGTCCTGGAGCCGCTCTCCCTGGGCCTCCCCCGCCTGTGCAGGCAGGAGCCGCCGGCAGAGGGCGCCGAGGCACAGTCTCCGCGCGCCCGCTGGGGGTGGGGGTGGGCTCAGCCAGGGGACCGCTGCCCCCCTGTGGCTGAGGGGCAGTGGGCACCGAACCCGAACCCCAACAGCAGAGAAGTGGCAGCTCCCTGGGTCCCTCGGACTGCAGTATCCGGTCCTGTGTGGCCGGAGACAGCGTCATTTTTAAGCAAGCTCATCGCGTCCGAGGCCGGCCAGGCTGGGGAAGTTTGGGTGAGCAGTTTAAGAAACGAAAACAAGACTGGGAAACCCACCTCAGAATGCCCAGTTACGTCCGAACGGCACACGAACAACGGGTGCTCCTTTAGCAGAAGTACGTCCCCGTGCCTGTGTGCGACATACGTAGACAAACGTTTTTGTTGTTTACCTGACATTCAACTTTAATGGGGCAGGTGGTGTTTGTACTTGCTAATTTTTTTTAATATATACTTTTATTGATTTCAGAGAGGAAGGGAGAGAGGGAGAGAGAGAGAGAGAGAGAGAGAGAGAGAAGCATCAATGATGAGAGAGAATCACTGCTTGGCTGCCTCTTGCACACCCCACGCTGAAGCTCTGCAGCAGCGCAGGGTACCACAAGGAAATAAAAATATTGCCTCAAGCCTCCTCCTTCAAATATAACCGCCGGTGACATTTCGGGCATAGCAGCCGCCTAGACAGATCCCTGCGTTTTCACAGAGAGAAACCCTGTCATTAAAGTGGGATCAGGCCATATGTCTGTTTTCCTTTTTGGTGAGGACGATTTAATTTTACTCGGTTCTAACTGAAGATGAATCTGACGTGAAACTGAAGCCATTCCTGAACGCCACGTGGGTCTCCTCCCCGCGGGCACGGGCGGCACAGCCCCGCCCAGGAGAGTCCTGCGTGTCAGAAAGCAGCCAGCCTGACCTCAGACACCACCACTCCTTCCCGCTCGGACTCAGCGGCACCCTTCTCGCCGGTGAGCGGAAGGAGGCTGATGGGGCCCTGGGCCTGGGGCCTGGTGACCGCTAGCGCGTCAGGATGCACCAGACCGACCAGGGGAGCCGGGCACACCGCACAGGTGCCAGGTGGCTGCCCTGCGCGGGGGTGGGCCGCCCGCAGGTGAGCCGCCTCCCTCGGGGACCATGTGCACTGGGTCCCGGGGGGGCCTGGGCTCCCCGTCCTGGATCCTTTCTCCACGAGAAATAAATAAACACGAGGCCAGGACAGCCTCTGTCGTCCCGCGAGGCTGTCTCAGAGCCTGCAGCTCCCTCTGGCGGCCTTCAGCGCGAGTGTTCCATCAGCCGCCCTGTCCCTGCGGCCATCCCCTGCTGAGACGCTGAGGACATGAGTTACTCGGGCGGACACTGTCCGGTGTGGTCGCACAGGTTCTGTTGTGTGACAGCAATCTGCTTCGTGGTTTAATGTTCCTTCTCCGGCTAATGTACCCGCAGGTCACCCCGATCCCCTTCCTCCCGTTCCCCATCCCTGAGTCTAAGCTTCCTGTGTGGCTGGCACTGCGCCTGCCCTGTCCCCACCCCCACCTCTGCCGCCTCCGCACAACAAGGCCCACCATTCGGCCACTGTCACCTCCGTTGGCCCAGGTCAGCATCCTCATCACCAGGTAGAACCACAGGGGCCGAGGCCGGTGCAGAACTTGGGCTGGGACAGCCTTCGCTCAGTGGTTCCCGACTGTGACCTTTGGCCTCTCCCAGCCCAAAGGAAGCAGAATCTCTAGCCGGGCCCAGGATGGGCCCTCTCTGCATCCCCTGGGAGGCCCATGTCCACTGTAGGCTGAGAGTCAGACACAAACCCTAGCCGGGCAGGGTGGCGCCTCCAGGCTGGTCCTGCAGAATCCCCCTCACGCTCAGCTCAGCGTGCAGACCTCACCGGGTTCCTGCACTCGCTGCTGCGGGATGGGGAGCAGGGAGCTGTGTCGGAAGCTCCTGAAGGGGGGTCCCCTGGAAGAGCGAGGTGCCTGGCCGCATCACTGCCACGGCAGCTGCCTGAGGGGATGGGCGTTGACGGAGCCTGAACCTGCCACACCTGCTCTGGAGACACCCTCCCCTGAACCCCAAACACACACACATGCACACATGTCTATGCACACCAAATATATGTGCACATACATGCACTGCACCTGCATGCACACGTGCACCCACATGCGAGTGCATGCATACACACACACACACACACACACACAGGCCCCGGGAGGGAGAGCCTGGCTGGCCGGGAGGCCCGTGAGGACCTCTGGCATGTGCACCGCCCCACTCATCCCGCTCCCTTGCAAGGCCGTCCATCGCAAAGCCCCGGGGAGGGCCCTGGACCTCTGGGATGCAGGTTCAGGGGCGAACCTCCGAGGGACACAGGCTGAGAGCGAGGGACCTTGGGCGAGGACGACAAAGCAGAGACTGAGAGATCAGACACAGAGATGGCTGAGCCACGGATGCCGAGAGGCAATAGGAGGCCCCGTGGAGCTGAGGCCACCAGCACCACCTCGCAGACCCGCAGAGGGTGTGGCCTCTGGGGACCCTTAGGGGACAGAAGCAATCTGGGTGAGGGGCTCGGGGGGGGGGGGGACAGAATGCTGCCTCTAAGGAGGGGGCAGCATTCAGAGGCTGCACCCCAAAACGAATGACCTTCCCCCTAATCCCACCCTAGTTCTCCTCTGCTAGTTGCCCCCCTTCGCCCCCCACGCCTGGTTCTCCGGCTGGGCCAGCAGCGGGGAGAGGGAGGGGGACGGGGAAGCGAGTGGCAGGCACAGCTGCTGCTCCCAGCCCGTCCTGGCCTCCAGCGAGGCGCAGCGCCTGTCCTGCTGTTACCCAGCTGGGGTGCCCCGTCCTCCTGGCTCTGGGCCAGGTGCCGTGCAGGGCGAGGGGGGACTCCCCTACCCCTACCCCCCGACCCCACCCCGTGCCCTACCAAACACAGGCCTGCAGGACCCAGGCCTCCTGGCTGCTCGGCTTCGGCCAGACTCTGTGTCCTTCCCTGAGAGGCGATGCCTGGGCAGGGGCTGCAGAGGAGCAAAGCTGGTGCCTCCCGGGCGGGGGCCGGGGGCCGGGCCGGAGCGGCGAGGGGTCCGAGCCTGACCTGGGCCCTGGGGACTCTTTCAGGTGCTCGATTGGTCAGGTTTGCACGAGGAGCCAGGGCTTGGGGAGCCTTTTTGGGGTGGAAGCAGGAAGGTCAGCGGCCAATCCTCTTCCATGGGTCTAATTCCCAAAGGGCGAGACTGTGGTCAGGAAGCATCGCTTTTTAAAATAATTGTTTTTTAATTGATTTCAGAGAGGAAGGGAGAGGGAAAGAGAGAGAGAAACATCAATGAGGAGAGAGAATCATGGATCAGCTGCCTCCTGCAGGCCCCCTACTGGGGATGGAGCCCGCCACCCGGGCATGTGCCCTTGACCGGAACCGAACCATGACCTCCTGGTTCATAGGTCGACGCTCAACCACGGAACCTCCGGCCGGGCAGTAAGCATCTTTATTGGAAGAGAGATCCAGCCCCCTGGCTCTGCCGGCGGGCGCCCTAGGCCATGAGGATTTCGATGTCCAGCTCCAGGTGGCTGGCTTTGACCTCATAGCAGCCCTGGAGCAGGCCCCGGGTCTGGCTGGTGTGCCAGCGCCAGTGGGACTGGATGGTGCAGGCCGCCTGGCGGGCCTGGAGGAAGCGCCGGCGGGCCTGCCACATGCGGACCTGGGCCTGCACCTTCACCACCGCCCACTCCTGGCAGGTGTAGAGCCGCAGCGCCAGGCGCCGCCTCTGCTCCAGCGTCTTGGCCTGCGCCGACCTCCACCAGCACTGGATGGCCCAGGCCCGGAGCGCCGCCTGCAGCAGCGTCTGGCGCACCCGGCCGCCGCGCCACCATGCCTGGATCCTCACGGCCGCCTTCTCTCGCTGACGGGCAGGGGAGAACGCGGAGACGCCCGTGAGGTCCCCGCTGGCTGAGTGCCGTCCTGCCTCGGTGCAGCGAGGAAAGGGGGCCTGGCCTGGGGGACCCTGACCTCTCGCGTCTGGGTCCCACCCGTCTTCCGCTCGACCCTCCACTCACCTGTAGACACTGCTTGTCGCCCTCTGGGCAGGTCCCTCCTGCGCTGGCCTTGCTCACCTGGCCTGTGTCCATGGCCCTGGTCTTTAGAGCGCGCTCACCCAAGGTCAGGGGGGTCACCCTGGTCTTCAGCCCCGCCCTCAACTGTTAGGCACCGCCTCCCGGGACTCCGCCCACCTGCCCCCTGGCCCCGGGCAGGTGCGGCAGGTGAGGTCTGAGCACCTCTCAGCCTCTCTCTCCTCTCCCCTGGAGTCTCACCCGGGACCAGCTGCCCTGAGGGCTCCCAGCGTGTGGGGCCCTGCCCTCACCTCTTGCCTTCAGACGTAGCTGGTAGCTTAAGTCTTGCTCTTCCCCCGCTCCAGTCACTTCTTGCTGTTGCTGCTGGTGTCAGGGAAGAGGGATTCCGGCAGCTTCCCTCCCAGCTTTCACGTTGGGAATGGAGACTCCCGGCCGGTATGGGTTCCTGGAGCTGACGGGAGGGGCCTGTCTGTCCCAGGCAGGCGTGTGTCTGTGGAAAGTTCCTGAAAGCAACATGTCTGAGCTGCGAAGGGAGGGGCCTCCGCGCCCCCCTCTGGCTCCTGCCGCCTCCGTTGGGGGCGCAGGGGCTGCGGCGTCGTTTGGGGGGTGCACTGAGCTTAGTTGGGGGTTAGATTACGAGGCTCCTGGGAACGGATACCTGCTCCCTGGCCATCCTGTCGGCACCAGGCCAAGGCCTTCCCGGGACCGCAGTGCTGCCGTGGCCACAGGGACGTGCCCCGCCGTGAGGGCTCCTGCCGTGGACGGACGGACGGACGAGCAGGAGGAAAAGGTGAGGTTTGGAAGCGTGGAGACAGGCTGGTCGGTGAATCCCTCCCCAGCAGACAGGTAACCCGCTGGGAAGGTCTATCCCCCACCCCAGTGCCCGCCTGACCCGGGACAGACGGACGTGAGGATGCGCTGAGGCGACTCCAAACGGAGCAGCTCGGCCCAGCTTCGGCGGGAACGTTGTGAAACAGGCTGGTCACTCCTGCGGCTGCGAGCGCCCCCAGCAGAGCGTCCGCCCGTGTGCGGGTGCGGGTGGGCCGGAGTCTCCCTCAGAAACGGGCTCCCACGGGAAGTGCTATTTGCCAAACCACCTGTGAAGAGGCAACGAAAGGCAAAGGCGATGCAGCTGAAATCCCGGGAAACCGCCGGGGAGGTTATAACGCTGCTGCGTCTGCGCGCCTGCCGCCCGGAGGAATGTGCCATCTGTGGCAACGCCCTTCCCCACCCTCCGATCCACTCGCCTGCCTTTGTGTCTGTCCTTCTGTGGCCATTTCATGTGAATCCTCACCTCAGGGTATTTTCCCAGATTTTTAGAGAGAGTGGAAGGAAGGGGGAGAGACCGAGAGAGAGAAACATGGGTGTGAGAGCGACACATCAACTAGGTCCGTGCCCTTGACCAGAATGGAACCTGGGCCCCATCCGCTGTGAGGGGCAGCGGCCGCCAGGCCTCCTGTGTCCGGCCCATCAGCCAGGTACCCAGTTATCAGCCTCTCAGTAGAGCGAGGAGCCCCCAGGACCATCCAGGGCCCCCCGCGCAGGCTCCAGAGGCTGCAAGCACGCTCTGTCTTCCTCTTCCTCTGAGGGCCTCAAGGTCACAGTCAGGAGATGGAGCCGCGTTTCCAGACCCCCAGTTAGGGCTGCGGCTGACCAGCCGGGGAGCCGCTGGGACATGCACGGCCACGCTAGCCCTGGCTTCAGCACGCCTGTCGTCGCCCGTTTGTCTGCCTGAGGCCTGCGGGTGCCCAATGCCTGCAGGACCCCCCTGTCCGTGGTGACCGCTCCCGTGCACTCCAGGCGCCTACAGGGAGGGCAGTGCCCGCCGGGTTCTTACATGAAGGCCGGGCTCTCAACCATGTGACCTCTGCATCCTGTCACAAGTCTCCGGGCGGACCTTGGTGCCTCCTTTCACGACTGTCACTCTGGTGAGCAGCCACTTCCGGCAAAGGCCTCCGTCGCTGCATGAAACCGTCGGTCCTGGCGTCCGCCTCCGCCCCCAGCCCCACCTGCTGGATTCCGCAGGAGGGACCACTTAGGAAGGGGCTGTGGATGGATCAGCGCTTTGGGCTCAGTCATTCAGGCCAGGTGTCCATAGTTAAGGTCAAGACACCAGATCTGCCCAGCCCGTGTGGCTCAGCATTGACCTTCAGAGGTGAGAGCAGGCAGAGGGGGGCCCTGCTCCTGCAGTGGCTGCTGCTCACTCACCTCCTGACTGTGACCTTGAGGCCCTGAGAGGAAGAGGAGGAAGAGGAAGAGGAAGACGGAAGCGTGTTCGCAGCCACTGGAGCCTGAGCCGGGGGCCCTGGCTGTCCTGGGGGCTCCTCGCTCTCCTGAGAAGTTGGTCACTGGGTATCCGGCTGATGGGCCAGGCCCAGGGGATTCAACCAAAACATTTACTCTGCCCCCCGGATCCCACCACCCCCCTCAAGGATGATTCTGGCTACGTTGTTATAGTATATACACCCCTGATCCCTCCTTTTAAAATGCCTTTTTTTTATAAGTGTTTTTATTGATTTTAGAGAGAGAAGGAGGGAGAGAGAGAGAGAAACATCAATGATGAGAGAGAATCTTTGGTCAGCTGCCTCCTGCACGCCCACTACTGGGGATTAAGCCCACAACCCCGGACATGTGCCCTGACTAGGAATTGAACTGTGACCTCCTGGTTCATAGGTCAACACTCAACCACTGAGCCACACCGGCTGGGCTCAGTATATAAACTATATATATATATAAAATTCTTTATCGCTTAAAGTATTATGGAAGTCTCCTTTCTCCCCCGTTGACCTCTCCTTAGCCACTCCCACCCCCAGCACATGCCCTCACCCACCCCACTGTCTGTGTCCATGGGTTATGCGTATATGCCTGCATACAAGTCCTTTGGTTGACCTCTTCGGGAAATATTCCTTATTGTAGCCATTCTGCAGTCTGTCTAGAGGTGAGTCAGGTGGCTCTGGCCTTCCTTGTCCTCATGACTAATGAGCTTGGACAGTTTTCCATGTGCTTCCGGCCACTTGTAAATCTCCTTTGGTGAAGAAGGACTTGTTTAAGAATGTGGTTCCTGACTCGTTCTTTCTAATCATTTGGTTCCATTGCTTCACTGAAGTCCATGTGTTTGAGTGCCTGACCGATGGAGTGTAAATTGTCTCAAATTCAGCTTTCCAATCAACCCGACGGAAAGAGTGAACTTTGTGCACTTTTTAGACCAATGGGCTCGTGTCCGGGAGCCTTGAGTCATTAGCCAAGGGTTAGGTATTTATGGAAAAAAGAATGGAGAGGTGTTGCACATCTTTTTACCCAAAAGGCCTCAACTGCGGGGAGGCATCCTGGCCCCTGAGTCAGAGGGGCCCTATGACATCACAGTGCTCTTATGACATCATAGTGCTCTCCCACCTCCTCTCTTCCTGCCCGGGCCTCGGCTGGAGGAGTACAGAACTGAGAGCGACAGGACCACCAAGCTCTTAACGATGGAGCATTTTGGGAGGGGATGAGACCTGAGAAATTGGAACCACCTATTTCCAAGTCATGGGTGTTCGATTTTGTGTAAGAACAGCCAGTCCCCTCGGTGCCCGCAGGGGAAGGTAGATTTCCAGGGGCCCCAGGATGCCATCCTGCATCGAGGTCCCTGGGCCAGGCAGGAGGCGGGGGACGTGGTGGTCAAGGCACACGGTTGTGCAGGACCCACCTACCCACGCCTTTCTCCTCTGACTCTGATCACAGAAGGGAGGCCAACTTGTAGAAATCATAGTCGAAGATACTCAAGATATCACCTTGCTGGTGCCACAAGAGGAGGAAATTAAGAAAGCGCCTCCAGCCCCACCCATTATCCCACCGGTAGGTCTGTGGGGACCTCACCGTTGAGGGTGACACTGACCCCAGCCTGCCCCCCGTCTCACCCACGTTGCCCAGCCGTGAGGGGATGTCTTCTCTGAGGCCCACAGCATGGGGTGATCAGGGCACTTGCCATCCAACCAGGATGCGTTTGTGAGGGGAAGACAGAGCTATGAGTGATGCCTCGGGAACAACCATCACAAACCGAGAAGGCCCCGGGCCCCCCAGATGCAGGGTTGCCCTACCCAGAGCTGGAGTGGACAGGGAGGGACTCGTCCCTGGCTCCGCCCTTCTCCTGGTGCCTCCGGGGCTGAGAAAGGTGGGGTGAGACCTGGAGAGTCGCTTGTAGGGAGGAGAGACCCTGGCCATGAGTGGGTGGTGAGGGCTGTGTTAGGGGAAGGCATTGCCAAGTAAAGGGGAACCCAAGTCCCAAATCGTGTGGGAGCGCGGGCAGGCGCATGCGCCCATGTGTGCTCGCTCAAGGTGTGAGAACCAAAAGAATGCGCGTGAGCAAGAAGCCAGGGAGACTCCAAACTGTGTGGAGCAGGGAGGCCCCTGGGACTTGACGGAGGGAGACAGGAGGTTGGGGAGGGAGCTGGAACCGGGCTTGGGAGCCAGCCAAGGGCGCCACGTCTGCAGCCTGTGGCTGGGCCCTGAAGGGAAGCCGCCTGCACTCAGGTAGGAAGTCAAGCCCAGGTGGGACACGCTGGCCCTTTGACCCAGAGACCATGGTGCTCTCTTTCCACGCACCCGGTGACGCCCAGGTCAGGTGAGCCCCATGGACAGGTGGGGACCGGTGCCCCTGCGTAGCGAGCCGACACGGCCATGACATACTCAGCCCCACGTTGGGCGCCACTTGTGCTGCGCCAGCACGGCCAAGAAAGCTGGGTCTCAGCAGGACGCTGCTTCTCTGATGGAGAGACAGCGACAGTGCCCACAAGCCAAGTCTTTATTTAAAGCCAGATTCCACGAGGTAAAGTAAGGGTGTGGTCAAAATGTTTACAACATTCTAATCTACTCAACTACATGCACCTGAACTCTTTCGAGCCCACATCACTCAGGCACGTGGGGCCACATGTTTGGACCACAGGTTCAAGCTCACAACCACAGCTGTTGGCTATAATTGTGCTGGGAGGGCTCTGCCCTCCAAGCTGGGACTTGCACGTGACCATGAGAGGACTGTGCCCTCTCATTAGTCCGAGGCTTGAACCTGTCCAAACACTGTGGCCGCTCTCCACACCCCTGACCTTCTGAGGCAGGGGCTGTGGCTGAGAAAGGACCAGGACCCCTTCCTGGCACTTCCTGGGGCTGAGGTGGGTGGGACCGGGTCCCGAGTGTCCCTTCCTTTTCCTTGCCACCCCTCCCTACAGGTAAAGAAGCCCTCTGATAAAGAAAAGCGAGCCACGCAGATCCAGGCCTGGTGGCGGGGCACCCTGGTGCGCCGGACGCTGCTGCACGCCGCGCTCTGCGCCTCCATCATCCAGCGCTGGTGGAGGCGGGTGCTGCGGGAGCTGCCATTGTTGAAGCAGAAGAGGCAGCTGGAGGCCTACACTCGGCAGGAGTGGGCGGCGGTCAAGCTGCAGTCCTGGTTCCGCATGTGGCGCGTCCGCCTCCGTTACCTCCGCCTGCTGCAGGCCACCCGCATCATCCAGCTGTACTGGCGCTACCACAACTGCCACACCAATGGCTTCCTCCAGGGCAGGTATCAACTCACAGCAAACCAGCTGGGACTTGATCTTGAGATCTTTCTGGGGTCACAGATTTGTCGGATTACGGAATGCATCCCCTTCCCAATAAAGCACTGACCAGGTCTGCTCCAACCCCGTGTCCCCGCGTCTCTGTCAGACCAGCTCCAGGAGGTCCTTGTCTCTGAGAAGGAGCAGAGAAACAGATGGCGGGTCCGGGCATCTCCCAGGTCAGCCTGGAGGCAGCGGCAGGGATTGGCTGGGCCAGTAGGGGTGCAGTTAGGGGCCATCAGGCAGGCAGGCAGAGGTGGTTAGGGGCGATCAGCAGGCAGGCAGGCAGGCGAGCGGTTAGGAGCCAGCAGTCCCAGGTTGTGAGAGGGATGTCTGACTGCCGGTTTAGGCCCAATCCCTAAACTGACAGTCAGACATCCCCCGAGGGGTCCTGGATTGGAGAGGGTGCAGGCTGGGCTGAGAGGACCTCCCCCCACCCATGCACAAATTTTGTGCACCGAGCCTCTAGTAAATAGATAACACAAGCATAAGCTGTTTTTGTGTGCTCATAGTTGTAAATCTCCTATTTCCCACTCCTCCACTCATATATATATATATATATATATATATATATATATATATATATATAATTTGTATATTTTGACATTTGACATATATATTTTTTAAATCCTTACCTGGGGAATGAGGATATTTTTTGCCATTGATTTTAGAGAGAGTGGAAGGGAGTGGGGTGGTAGAGAGAGAGAGAAACATCAATGTGACAGACACATTGATTGATTGCCTCCCATAATCATCATTGATGTTTCTACCTCTCTGTCCCTCCTCCTTCCTCTCTGAAATCAATCAATAAAATAAAATGAAATAAATGTGGGGGCCCGGGGATCAGACCTGCAACCCAGGTACACGCCCTTGACCGGGAATCGAACCCACGACCCTCCGGTGCCCAGGCTGATGCCCTAACCACTGAGCAGGGTGACATTTGACATCTTTTTTAAAAAAATAATCCCTTTCTGGCTTGGGAAAGACAGCTCCTCCCAGGACTAGCCAGTTCCGAGAGAGAGCAAAGGACTCAGCCCTGAGCATGCCTTTGATCCTTTAGTTTAGCAAAATGTCTAAGGCAGCGCCTCCCTCCTCTCCCCGGCCTGTGCACGCCAGGACGAAATCGCTTTTCTGCTCTTATCACCCCAGGGCCAGTACCGGTGTCCGGGGAACCACTCCCACTCGCCGGTCCCACGCTGGGCCGGCCCTGCCTTGCCTTTCCCACTCCAGTGAAGGCCACACCAAAGCCCTTTCCTCCCTGCTGTCTCCTGCCACCTGCCCCAAGCCTGAGGCTCCTGCCCCCCCGCCCATGACATGGGGACCCCCGGGGAGATCTGAGCACCTTCGAGCATGACAAACGTTTCCTTGTGCCTCTCCTCCTCCCTCGTGCCTGGAAGGCCTGGAAAGCTGTCCGTTCTAATCCCTGACCACCCCGCTCACTCTCCACGACTCCCTCTCTACACCTGGCTCCAGAGTCCTCGCTTATTAATGTATCTGCTCAGCCCCAGGCCACACATGAAGTTGTTTCAGAACAACCAATCCACATTTATTTCATTTTATTTTATTGATTGATTTCAGAGAGGAAGGAGGAGGGACAGAGAGGTAGAAACAATGATGAGAGAGAATCATGGATCGGCTGCCTCCTGCACGCCCCCTCCTGGGGATCGAGCCCGCAACCCAAGCATATGCCCCTTGACCGGAATCTAACCCGGGACCCTTCAGTCTGCAGGCCGGCACTCTATCCACTGAGCCACACCAGCCAGGGCACCAATCCACAGTTCTGTGAAAAGCAAACCTCCTCACTAGAGGGTAATGTTTGCGTGTGGGCTGGTTTGTGTTCATCTTCGGAACGTGTAGTCACAATGCTGCCGGCAGAGCTGGCTTCAGTGTGGCCCCCCACCTTCCCGAGGCCTGGGCGTTTCTGAGAGCTTTCACACCCGGCGGGTAAGCTTACGACGTAAAATACTAAAAGCTCAGAGTTTGCAGGTGGGAACCTGGAGGTGCTGAGCGGACCGGGGGCGCCCTGGCCCGTCCCCTGCTGGGCGGCCGGTGTCCTGGAAGCCCGGGCACGGTTTTCCCAGAAAACGGGTGGCTCCTCCTGGGAAGCTGCTGGCCGACAGGGGAGGTGCCGACTCTGCGTCGGTGGCGTTGAAAGCGGATGAGCCGCGACCTCGGGGCTTTGGGATCACCCTCCGGTGGGGTTTGCACAGAAGCGGACAGGCCGACCGGGAGGGGTGAGGCGGGAGGGGCACTGGACACTGGGTCCGAGTGCGGTGGGGCTGGTGTACGCGGTCGGAAGCAGCTGGAAATGCAGAGGGAGGCGGCCGTGGTGGCCCCGTCCTGGGGTCCTTGTATACTGTGCCCAACAGGTTGAATTTTACCTTGAAAATGGCCAGGAGCCCAGGGCACCGATCACGTGATCGGATTTCCACACGAGAAGGGCCCCTCGGGAGGGTGGCCGTGTGGCCGACGCCGGGATGGCGCTGGGCAAAGCGGGGAGGGGCCCTCAGGGGGAGCCGTGGGCTCGGCAGGCCTTGCTGTGCGTTCGGGGCACGTGTCCAAGGCCACAGAGCAGGGGTGTCCAAAGTAATAAATAATAAACAAACATCAAGGGCACGGAGCAGCATGGGACCAGGCGCCTCTCCAAGGCCTGCACCTGCCCGCGCCCCCCACCCCCCGCGGCTCCACGCAGGAGCGAGGATGCTGCTGTCGCCACCCCGCCCAGGTGGAAACACCCGGAGAGGCTGAGTGGCTTGCCCGGCTCACACAGCCAGGCAGGGCCCTGTCGGGGTCCTCACCCCCAGGAACCCCAGGAGCTCGCGTCCCCAGCCAGACGCATGCACCTCCGCACAGCAAGGTGACCCACGCCACACGCTGCCGTTCAGCAAAGATGAGGAAGCGGTTGACAGAGGTGAGGCCGCTGTGGAGACAATCTGTCTCATGACTCAGCACGCCGCCCGGCTGCTGGGGACTCGGGAGGGGCCCCTCCCAGCGCCGCCTGCCGTGGACGGTCACGGGGTGCCTGAGCCGTGAATGCATCCGTGGAGAAGAGAAGAGAAAAACAGCCCTGCCAGGTCGCCAGGACACGGTCATGTTTTGTGCGTATTTCAACGTTTTCCTCATCGTTTATCCGCACATCAGCAGCTGCTGCCACGGCCACGGGAGCTTAGACACGAAATCGGGTTGGGGCCTAAAGGGGGAGAAGCTACACCCTGGTCTCCCGGTGGGAAGAAGAGGATGCCTGGGAAGGAGGCGGCCAGCCGACCCCTCCTGGGCGCTGTCCGCGGGTCCGTCAGGAGGCGGGAGGCGCTGGGAGGCGGGGCTGGGCCGCAGGGCGCTGGCCTCAGAAGCAGCCTGAGTAGGGGTCGGGCCTTTCAACCACGACTCCTGCCTCCTCCTCAGAGACGTCTCCAGTGGGGGGGACCCTGCCTCCCACGTCATGACTCACGTGTGGGAAAGCCCTCCAGACGCCTAGGTTTCAGATGCAGGATGGGAGGGCTTGTTTGTTTTGTTGTTAATCCTCCTCTGAGGATATTTGTTCCATTGATTGATTGATTGATTGATTGATTTAGAGTGGAAGGGATGGGGGTAGAGAGAGAGAGGAATATTGATGTGAGAGAGATACATCGATGGGTTGCCTCCCACATGCACCCCGACCAGGGCCAGGGATGGAACCTGCAACTCAGGTACGTGCCCTTGGCCAGGAAGAGCCCTCCACCCTGCGGTGCAAACCCCAGAAAAGGAGGGCATCCCCGCCCCCCGACTGAGGCAGGACGCCGTGGCCGGGGGTGGGGGCCAGGGGACAGCCAAGCCCCTGCTCCTCCCTCGGCACCGTGGGAGCTGCTCCAGTGGCTGCAGACACCGCGGTCCCGTGGGCCAGGCCGGGCCAGAGACCCCCTCGGGGAAGGACAGGCTCTCGGGACTGTGGTTCCAGCAGGGACCCGGCCCCTCCCGCAGGAGAAAGGCGGCAGCGCCTCCTCTTACCTGACAACGTGGAGCCTGGAGAGGCAGGCTGGGCCTCGGGTCACAGGGGCGCTTGTGACATCACCGCTCCCCTCCTCTACCCCATCCGGGCTTGGCCAGGCCCCATGGAGCAGCAACCTGAGGGGTGTTAACATCTGAGCCCCTGCCCTCCAGCCATGGGCAACCAGTGCTGTGTAAGAACGGGGCGGGGGCGGGGGGGGACCGCTCCCCAGGGTGAGGAGCCACCCGTGGCGGGGGCAGCACTTGGGGGTGGGTGAGGAGCTGGGCACTCGGCAGGGACTGGCCCTCACTCGTGCTTTCCCCTACGTTTTGCTCACAGAAGCAGGACAAGGAGGAAGGGGAGGAGGTGAGAAGACGGTCACTGAAGAAGAAGACGGTAGGTGGGGGGGGGGGGGGGACCAGGGCGCAGGAGAGAATCACAAATCATGGCCCCTCGGAACCCAGGGTCCTCGCAAGTGGAGGGCCCGTCCCTGGTCCCATGCCGTCGGCTCAGGGTGGCTGTCCAGTCCCCACCAATCCCCCCCCTCCCCTGAGCGAGCATGCTAAGTAGGATGTGGATCGGGGTGCAAACAGCCCACAGGGAAGGCGGGCACAGGGCAGGGGGCGCTGGAGAGGGGAGATGGGCCGGCCTAGTCCCAGAGGAGGTGGGTGACCGAGAGGGGGGTGTGGAAGTCGGGAGAAGGGAGGCTGTGGCAGGGACGGGGCGTTCGGCAGCCTCGCGGGCGACAATGCAGAGCTTCACCCTCGCGGGCACCCTTGGGCGCTGCACACCTGCCGGCCGGGTCTTCTGGTTGGAAGGTGTTCCCCCTGGTCCCACGAAGCCAAGAAGACCACGGGGCAAGCAAGCATCCCGTCCGACAGGCGAGGACACGGTGACGCAGAGCGCGAGCAGGGGTGGCCACGGCCACGAACAAGATGGCAGCGCGGCGAAGCCCGGCCAGGCCCGCCAGGCCCGCAGGAGCCCCGGGGAAGGCGGACCCTGACCGGCAGGAGAAGCCGCGCGGCGGTGGCCGGCGGCCGGTGGCCGGTGGCGTTCACGGGAACCCTCTGCTTTGCTTGGGCAGGAGCTTCAGAGAAGGCGACTCCTGGAAATAAAGGCGAAGTCCGACGCGGCCGGCCGGATCCAGGCCTGGTGGCGCGGCACGCTGGTGCGGCGGACCCTGCTGGCGGCCGCGCTCCGCGCCTGGATCATCCAGCAGTGGTGGCGCGGGCTGCTGTGGCGGCGGGGGTGCGCGCTGCGGCGGGGGCTGCTGCAGATCTACGCGGCCGAGGAGCTGGGCGCCGTCCGGCTGCAGTCCTGGTTCCGCATGTGGCAGTGCCACCGGAGCTACGGCCGGCTGCGCGGCACCGGCTGCCTCTCCCGGGACCCCCAGAGCGGCTTCCGCTTCCAGATCCAGGAGGCTCCGCAGGATCCCCAGGACCCGCGGGCCCTGCAGCCTCCGCAGGCGCAGCGCCCGGGGGGTGCCAAAGACCCGGAGTTCCGCGTGGAGATTCTCTCCGTGTAGGTGGCTCTGCGGCCCCAATAAACGTCTGGCCGGGCCGGTGTGTCTCGGTGACTCCCAGGCCTCCTCGGGGCCACAGTCAGGCCCAGCCCCTCCTCTCGCCCCCGGGAAACACGGGCAGGGACCACCTCGGACGGGGCGCCCGAGCCCGCCCTCCACGCAGAGCCAGGCCCCGCACAGACCCAGCACCGTCTGGCCGCCTGAACTTGCCCGGGACGGGCTGGGCTCTGTAACCCTGAAGTCCGGGCACCTCCTGTGAGTGTTGTCCCTGTTGTCCCGCGGCCATGTCATCCTGCGCTGGGGCTCCCGGCTCGCACGCACCAGCTTTCTGTTCCGCCAGCCCCCAGAGGGAAGGCAGGCGCGTGGCCGGCCCTCCTGGGAGCAGCGCGACCCGCTGGTTCGGTGCCGGTGCCGGGGCCCCAGGCTCACAGGCCTCTCCTCTGGGCAGTGGCAGGTATCGGGCTCCGCCTCCCCTCCCTCCTGAGGACCAGATTCTCGGGGCGCTGCACACAGACAGGGCTGCCACTGCCGTCTCCCCCTGGCTAGGCATGACACCATCTTGGGGCGGACCCTGCTGGCGGCCCTGCCTCTGACCTCCAGCGAGCTTGGCTTGCGTCCTACCTCAGCCTCCACTCCTGCCGTCTCGCTGGGCACCATTGCCTTTCGGGCTGTCTGTGGGGACGGACCATTTCCTTAAAATGTCCGACCCACCGTAGACCAATTCTTCCGTCACACAACAAAAATGCATTATGAGAAAAATCAACGGGCCCTGCCGGCGTGGCTCTGTGGGTTGGGCATCGTCCAGGCACCAGAGGGCACCGGCTCGGTTCCCAGTCCCGGCTCAGGCCTGGGTTGCAGGCTCCATCCCCGGTAGGGAGTGTGCAGGAGGCAGCCAATCGATGTTTGCCTCTCTCCCTTCCCCTCTCTCTCAAATCAATAAAAACATTTTTTTAAACTTACATTATTACTTTTTTATTTATTTTTAAGTCTTTATTGTTGAAAGCATTACACATGTCTCCTTTCTTCCCCCAATGACCCCTTCTACCCACCCCCGCCCCAGGCCTTCACCACGCTATTGTCCGTGTCCGTGGGTGATGCATCTATGCACACGCGTTCATCGGTTGATCTCTTCCCAACCACCCACCCTCACCCCCGCCTTCCCTCTGCGATTCGACAGTCCGTTCCATGCTTCCATGTCTTTGGATCTATTTTGTTCAACAGTTTATTTTGTTGATTAGATTCCACACATGAGTGAGACCATGGGATACTTGTCTTTCTCTGACTGGCTTATGTCGCTTAGCATAACTCTCTCCAGGTCCCTCCATGCTGTCTCAAAGGGTAAGAGATCCTTCGTTTTTACTGCCGCATAGCATTCCTTGGTGTAAATGTGAAAACACACCTTTTTAAACATAAACAAATGGAAAAGGTGTATAAAACCTAAGGTGTATTTTTAATTATAGGTTAAGCATACATACAATTACGATTCCCACCGGCTGTGAACGTTTCTGAACACGCCCTCTCTTGCTCGGTTCTGGTAACAACTGCTCCTCACGCTCCGAGAGGCCTTGCCCTGGTCCTTGTCAGACTCAGAGCTGACCCAGCAACCCTGGGTTCCACCCTTCCTGGTCTCTGACTTTTGCCTTCTTTTAAATATATTGTAATGAGTTCAAAGAGAAAGGGAGGGAGAGAGACAGAAACATCAATGATGAGAGGGAATCATTGATTGACTGCCTCCCGCCCGCCTCCTACTGGGGATCGAGCTCGCAACCCAAAGGCATGTGCCCTTGACCGGAATCGAACCTGGGACCTTCAGTCCACAGGCCGACGCTCTATCCACTGAGCCACACCAGCTAGGCCCTGAAGGGAAGCCACCATCGAAAACCACCTGCCACGTCGTCCGTCGGCAAATACTGTCGGTATCACCTCTGCAGAAGCAACGCAGCGGATAGTGAGACTGAAGGAACGTGCTGTCTCACGCGTGGGGGTAGGAACGGAGCGTGGGGTGGAAGTGAAATGTGGAACACAGTTCGGTGACCTCTCGGGAAGTTCAGCACAGAACCGCCAGATAACCCAGCCGTTCTACTCCTAAGTACAAACCTAGCAGTTGAAAACCCCTGTTCACACTACAATGTGTATGAAGATGTCATAGTAGAAAATAGCCAAAGAGTGGAGACCGCCAAGCGGGTACAAATGAGGGCACATCCACGCCATGGAGGACGACTCAGCGATAAAAGGGAACGAACCACGGAAACCTGCAGCCACGTGGACGGATCCCACGGAGGCGCGCGCCCCTGAGAGCGGTGGGGCCACCAGGCGCCTGACGATGGACGATTTGGGGGATGAGAGACCCGAGGGATTGGAACCACCGAGTTCCACGTCATGGGCGTTCGATGTTGCGTCAGAACCGCCGGTCCCCTCGGTGCCCGCAGGGGAAGGTGGGTCTCCAGGGGCCCCAGGATGCCATCCTGCATCGAGGCCCCTCGGCCAGGCAGGAGGCGGGGTACGTGGTGGTCAAGGACCCACCCACCCACACATTTAACCTCTGACTGTAATTCAAGGGAGAAAACATGGACGCAGAGGAACAGGAGAACCTTGAAAAATACCAGCAAAGGAGTGAAAAAAATAAAGAGATGAAGGAAAAAGACCCTCTGACCCCACCCAGTGCACGAAAGGTAGGCCTGTGGGGACCTCACCGTTGAGGGTGACACTGACCCCAGCCTGCGCCCCGTCTCACCCACGTCGCCCAGCGTGAGGGGACGTCTTCTCTGAGGCCCACAGCATGGGGTGCTCAGGGCACCTGCCATCCAACCAGGATGCATTTGTGAGGGGAAGACAGAGCTATGAGTGATGCCTCGGGAACAACCATCACAAACCGAGAAGGCCCCGGGCCCCCCAGATGCGGGCTTGCCCTACCCAGAGCTGGAGTGGACAGGGAGGGACTGGTCCCTGGCTCCGCCCTTCTCCTGGCACCTCCGGGGCTGAGAAAGGTGGGGTGAGACCTGGAGAGTCGCTTGTAGGGAGGAGAAACCCTGGCCATGAGTGGGTGGTGAGGGCTGTGTTAGGGGAAGGCATTGCCAAGTAAAGGGGAACCCAAGTCCCAAATCGTGTGGGAGCGTGGGCAGGCGCGTGCGCCCATGTGTGCTCGCTTAAGGTGTGAGAACCAAAAGGATGCGCGTGAGCAGGAAGCCAGGGAGACTCCAAACTGTGTGGAGCAGGGAGGCCCCTGGGACTTGATGGAGGGAGACAGGAGGTTGGGGAGGGAGCTGGAACCGGGCTTGGGAGGCCAGCCAAGGGCGCCACGTCTGCAGCCTGTGGCCGGGCCCTGAAGGGAAGCCGCCTGCACTCAGGTAGGAAGTCAAGCCCAGGTGGGACACGCTGGCCCTTTGACCCAGAGACCACGGTGCTCTCTTTCCACGCACCCGGTGACGCCCAGGGCCGGTGAGCCCCATGGACAGGTGGGGACCGGTGCCCCTGACCTTCTGAGGCAGGGGCTGTGGCTGAGAAAGGACCAGGACCCCTTCCTGGCACCTCCTGGGGCTGAGGTGGGTGGGGACCGGGTCCCGAGTGTCCCTTCCTTTTCCTTGCCACCCCTCCCTACAGGTAAAGAAGCCCTCTGATAAACAAAAGCGAGCCACGCAGATCCAGGCCTGGTGGCGGGGCACCCTGGTGCGCCGGACGCTGCTGCACGCCGCGCTCTGCGCCTCCATCATCCAGCGCTGGTGGAGGCAGGTGCAGGCGCAGCTGCTGGAGGCGCGGCGGCGGGCGGCGCTGGAGGCCTACACTCGGCAGAAGTGGGCGGCGGTCAGGCTGCAGTCCTGGTTCCGCATGTGGCGCGTCCGCCTCCGTTACCTCCGCCTGCTGCAGGCCACCCGCATCATCCAGCTGTACTGGCGCTACCACAACTGCCACACCACCGGCTTCTTCCAGGGCAGGTACGAACTCACAGCAAACCAGCTGGAACTTGAACTTGAGATCTTTCTGGGGTCACAGATTTGTCGGATTACGGAATGCATCCCCTTCCCAATAAAGCACTGACCAGGTCTGCTCCAACCCCGTGTCCCCGCGTCTCTGTCTTACCCTCGGCGACTGCATGGGTGGACACGGGAACTGTGGTGCCAGCGAAATAAGCCAGTCAGAGAAAGACCACGATCACACGGTCCCACTCCATGTGGAATGCAATGAACACAATAAACCGATGAGCAAAACAGGTCCAGAGGCCTGGATGCAGGGAGCAGACGGACAGATCTCAGGGGGCGGGGGAAGAGGGGGTGTAGGGGACGGGACGAGATTAACCAAAGATCACATACGTATACGTGCACAACCCGTGGACACGGAAAATAGTCCGGGGGCGGCCTGGCGTGGGCAGGGGTTGAGTGGAGGGGAACAAAAAGGGGGGGATGGGGGGCAGGGATAATACTAACAACAACAAATAGCGGTGGTCATTGCCCAACCTTGTAAATATGCTAAAAATTACTGAACTGCACAAGTTTAAAGGTAAGTTTTGTTAACGTCAAAACATTCAAACCTGTAAAGAATTTTTGTGAGTTTATTTGAGCCAAACTGTTGACAATTGCCAGGAAGCAGGACCGCAACGGGGGTTGGGCTAGTGCTCCAGAGAACGCGGTTTTCACCCATTTTTATGCATTAGAATCAAAGGAGGAGCCGTAGGCGGGTCACATGAGCTCCATTGGTGATAGGTTAGGGAGGTGGGAGAAAGCAAAGTGAGTGTGTGTGTGTGGTGCAGGATAGTTAACCGTCAACAATTAACATGATGCCAATAACAATGAAGGACTTTGTGGTCTCTGTCCTGGCGCCCAGGGCATTTGGTTGTGCCCTGAGGGGTCCAGAAAAAAAAGGGAAGTTACAAGTTACCCTGACATTTCAAGGGTATGTTACCGTAGATGCAAAAAGACAGATAGGCTCAGTTACGGTAAAGATTGACCTTGTCAGGGAAGATGCCGGCCTAGGACATGACTACCCACCATCACTGCTTTTGGTTAAAGCTTAATTTCAGACCATCCTTTGTGGTGACTTCAGTTCTTCGAGTTTGCAAGACCGCCATGCAGGCCTTCCCTGAGCTGGTCAGGTCAGCATGTGGCCCCTTCTGTCTACAGTTTTATGCGTCGGTGAAAAGTTTTATGTGCATAGTCCATTTTCTTAGAAGGGACTCAGCATCATGATGGTCGCCTTTCGCCACAAGATCAATGACTTAGTCAAGATCCTGGCGAGACTCGCACTGACACGGTGGAAGCCTTGACGGAAATGTCCATCTTTTAAAAATACTTTTTTATTGATTTCAGAAAGAGAGAGAAACATCAATGAGAGAGAGAACCATTGATCCACTGCCTCCTGCATGCCCCCTACTGGGGAATGAAGCCCATAACCCAGGCATGTGCCCTGACCGGGAACCAACCCTGACCTCCTAGTTCATAGGTTGATGTTCAACCACTGAGCCACATCGGACGGGCAGAAATGTCTACTTCTATATATAAAAGCCTAATATGCCAAGTGTCCGATCGTTTGACAGGTTGACCGGTCGCTATGATGCCCACTGACCACCAGGGGGCAGACACTCTGACCGGTAGGTTAGCTTGCTGCTGGGGTCCGGCCGATTGGGACTGGGTGAAACAGCCGGACATGCCCTGGAGCCCTCCCGCAGTCCTCCCCGGCTGGCCAACCTCCCTCGGACACACCCAGGCCAAGGGACCCCACCGGTGCACGAATCCATGCCCTGGGCCTCTAGGCTTTAATAATAGCGTTGAATAGTTTGTCACATTGGAAATACCTAGATGGGTAAGTTTTTAACCCTTTGGATAGGAATCTACCTGGGTGTGGTGCCTTATTCTGGGTGGAATTTCAATAGCCTTCTTTGGTTTACTGTTTTCTAGATTCGTCTGGTCTCTGCTTCCTATGGGGTACTGGGGTGCTGAAACCCGAATCAGGGGAAGACAGGACATGCTAAGTCTGAGAAGACACTAGAACTGTCTGGAGATAACTGCCGTGGTCCCTCCCGCTCCCCCGGGGGCTGATACCATTGTCATTAGCCTAGTGATGAATGACAGGAAAGGGGCCCAGGCAAGGCCGACTGTCAAAGGCTTGTCACTTGGGCAGCTCTCCACTCCCCGGGGAGCCACCGGTCTATCCCCGCAGATCCCAGATCCCTGCGGGGAGGGCTGGACAGGGAGGAGACGAGCCCCGTCAGGGTGATGTGGGGAAGGTACTTGGCTGTCAGTCACACCCGGGAACAGGTCACTGGCCAGAATGGGCGTGGCCATCGCGAGCGCCCGGGAACTCGGGATACTTGACAAAGAAACCACGCTCTTGGCTTCGCTTGTGTTCTGGGCCCCCTCGGTGTGTGGCGCTGGACTCCCGGCTGGCCGGGCTCCCTCGTTCCTGCTTCCCGGCCTTGGACCACGTGGACCCCACACACTGGGCCGATGGGCTGGACCTGGCCTGCTGCCGAACTGGACCCGCTGCAGCCTGGAATGGACACTGGACACTGGCTTTGCGTCCGGCTCTACTGGAAGCCCGGCTGCGCTCCCGCGATGAACGGGGCTTCCGAGGCCCCGAGGTGTGACTCCACGCAAATGAAACCATCAATCCTCCTCTCCAGGCGGCGTGAGGACCCGGCACCCAGTGGGAAGCGGGTGCCGCCCATGTCCCCGCCAGCAGTCGGTCACGAGAAGGACATGCATGGGCCTGCCTGGAGGGGAGCCCCGGTGTGGGGGGCACTCGCGGGCGTCACCTGCCCTCGGAGCCCTGGGACAGCTCTGTCGCGAGGGAAGCAGGCAGGGCTTGCTTCTGAGGAAGACACGACAGGAGGGCAGGTGTCCTGAACCTCGTGTCATAATGCAATTGTGAGCTCATCGCTCTCTCCCTCGTAGGACTCCCGCCAGGCCAGGGGGGCAGAGACGTCCAGCCCAGCGAACCATCTGAAGACCGAGATGGGGGTCCAGTTTTGTGTAAGAGACACAGCCAGGTCTCCTCAGCTGGCCCGGGGTGGGCGGGAACCGCCCTGGACTTCAGAGATCTTGGGGAAAGAGGGGGTGTTGAGGCAGCGGGAGGCCCTCGAGAGAAGCCGCGTCTAACTCATCCGTGCATGTCTCCCGTTTAATGTTGAGGTCAGAAAGACGGCCATCCGATTTTAATTAAGATCAAGAATGAGGAAGAGATTTGTTATGTGATCTTACCAGAAGAGGAGCCGCCCCCGCGCCCGGTGCGTAAACCTCCTGTGATTCGGAAAAGCCCGGAGCGCTCGCCTCTGACCTCAGGCGCTGGCTCCTCCCCTCCACGCCCTGCTCAGCCTGGGCTGCGGGTCTGACTGTGACGTGAAGAGCGAACGGCCAGCCCGGCCGGCGGGGCCCAGGGGTTGAGCATCGGCCTGTGAACCAGGAGGTCCTGGTTCAATTCCCGATCAGGGCACATGGCCGGTTGCAGGCTCGATCCCCAGTGAGGGGCATATAGAAGGCAGCTGATCAATGATTCTCATCATTGATGTTTCTATCTCTTTCTCCCTCTCTCTTCCTCTCTGAAATCAAAAAATATATATGAGAGAGAGAGAGAGAGAGACCCTTGCAGCAAGTCCCAGGAGTTGGTGGCAGGGGCTTCCTGAGGTGTCTTTGGTCTCTGCCTAGGGAGGAAGATCGAGAGCGGCCAGGAGGATCCAGGCCTGGTGGCGGGGCCTGCTGGTGCGGCGGGCGCTGCTGCACGCGGCGCTGCAGGCCTGGGTCATCCAGCGCTGGTGGCGGCAGACGTGGCAGCAGCTGCTGCACAGGAGGCGGCGGGAGGCGCTGGTGAGCTACGCCATCCGGGAGAGGGCGGTGGTCAAGCTCCAGTCTTTGGTCCGCATGTGGCGCGTCCACTGGCGATACTGCCAGGTGCTCAACGCCATCTACGTCATCCGTGGCCACTGGCAGAGCCACCACTGCCAGACCTGCGCGCTCCTCCGGGGGCACTGCGTGGTCACGGCCACCCACCTGCAGTTCCACATCGAGATCACCAACCCCTGAGGCCGCGGGGCAGGGACACGGAGCCTCTGTCCCCAGTAAAGGTCTGACCTGATGTGCTGTCGTGTGGTCACCCCCAGGGAATGGAAAGGTTAGGACGCGGGCCTGCCGCCGCCTCTTCTTCCCGGGAAAACAAGTCCCGTGAGGTTCCCCGCTGCCTCCCGTGAGGCCCCGGTTCCGAACCAACAATGAACGGATGCTGCTGACTCGGTTATCAGACAGACACTGTGGTCCAGGTCTAAGCTGACACATGACAGAGCCAGTCCCCAGGGACACCCCTTCTGTAGCCTGTGGGGTCCTCTGCCCAGGAGAACGGGCTCCGGGCCCCTCTGTCAGCCTGGCGCCGGGACACGCCGACAAGGTCTCTCTGACCAGAACCTAGGAAAACGCCAGCTCCTGGCTGACTCCTGGGGGCAGGTGACAGCCGCAGGGAAGGGCAGGGGCTGGCCTCTGTGGGGCGGGGCACTGGGCATGCTGACGGGCAGGTGGGAACCCGGGCACTGGTAGGAAACGGGTTCGAGGCCCTTCATCTGCACCCACAATCCTCGCCCGCACTCCTCTCCCCGCGGCCGAGCGGCAGGCGGATTCCTCCGTGTTCCCCAAACCCCCGCCTTGTCTCCGTGCCTGCCGATCTCACCCTCGGCCAAGATGTCCCTCCCCGTCTCCCAACTCTTATGACTGACGACCCTTTGGATGCTCCCCGGCCGCCCGCCTCTGGTCACCGTCAACAGGCTGCTCTGTGGAGCGCTGTGATGTCGGCCTCTGTGCTGTCCTAGCTGCAGCCACTAGTCACGCGTGGCTGTGGAGGACGGTAAACGTGCTTGCTGCTGCCCGAGCCGGCAGGCTCAGTGGACGGAGCGTCAGCCTGCGGACTGAAGGGTCCCAGGTTCAATCCCCGGTCAAGGGCACCTATCTCGGTTGCAGGCTGCACCCCAGCCCCAGTCAGGGCACGGGCAGGAGGCAGCCAGTCAATGTGTGTCTCTCACATGATGTGTCTCTCCCCCTTCCTTCTACTCTCTCTAAAAAAATCAATGGGAAAATACTCTCAGGTGAGGATTAACAGCAGCAACATGTGCCTAGGAGTGCAGCTAAAGAATTGAATTTTTAATTTTGTTTCATTTAAATTAAGTTTCAATAGCTACTAACCATTCCATCGGGCGGCGTGGCGCTAGACCTCACCGTTACCAACCCTCTCCTCTTGCTCAGATGGCTTTTCCTAGAGCTGCATTCTCGGATTCCTTTCTTTTCTCTTTCCTGTTTACCTTTCAAATACCCCCAACAGAATGGAAAATGGTACAGATGCCACGGAAATTGGCAGAGCAGTTCCTCAAAAAATTAAAAGTAGGATTATACGGCCCGGCCGGCGTGACTCCATGGTTGAGCATCATTAACCTGTGAACCAGGAGGTCACGGTTCAACTCCTGGTCAGGGCACATGCCCGGGTTGTGAGCTTGGTTCCCCAGTAGGGGGCGTGCAGGAGGCAGCCGATCCATGATTCTCTCTCATCATTGATGTTTCTCTCTCTCTCTCCTCCCATCCTCTCTGAAATCAATAAAAATATATTGTGAAAGAAATTGAATTATCTGGCCCAGCCATTCCACTTGTGGGTACATACCCACAAGGATCTAAGGCAGCGTCTCAGAGGTCTTTGCGACTCATGTCCACGGCAGCATTAACGACTCACACCATCCGAGCGACGGGAGCTTCTCCCGTGCCCGTCCTCGGAGGAAGGGCCGGTCGGAATGTGGGCTCTGCACCGAGCGGAGAGGAGCCAGCCCGAGGAAGGAAGGGATGCGGACGCAAACCACGGCAGGATGAGCCTCGAAGACACTGGGCCACGGGAAAGAAGTCAGTCACAGAAGGACACACACTGTAGGGTTCCGCTCGTGTGAGGCATTTGATCAGTGAATTCCACGGGCAGGAAAGGCAGCCTGGCAGTTGCCGGGGGCTGGGGAGCGGGGAGGGTGGAGAATGCTTCCCAGAGTTTCGGTTCTGCAAGACGAATAACATTTCTGGAGACGGATGGTGCTGATCATTTCCAATACAAAGTGAATATACCAATGCCAATGAGCTGTCTACTTAAAATGGTACATGTTGTGTGGCTCAGGGGTTGAGCGTCGACCTATGAGCCAGGAGGTCACGGTTCCATTCCCAGGTCAGGGCACTTGCCCGGGTTGCAGGCTCGATCCCCCAGTGGGGGGGGGCGTGCAGGAGGCAGCCGATCAGTGATTCTCATCATTCATGTTTCTATCTCTCTCTTCCTCTCCCTTCTTCTCGCTCTAAAAATCAACTTTAAAAAAACAAAACATTTTTAAAAAATGGTAAATATTATGATATGTATATTTTACCACAATTTAACAAGAGTATATTTTAAAAGATGATACAGGTTGTAAAATGACTGACCATACCATTTATCCAGACCCCATGGGGGAGGGGAAAGGGGTGTCCCTGGTTGGCCGACTTGGCGCAGCCCCAAGGCTCCTGCCCAGGGCAAACATTGCTAATCCATCCCTGGCCCTGCTCCTCCCGCCCCAGGGGCTCCACCCTCCTCCGCACAAGACCCTGCCCCCCAGAACCCCGGCCGCTGCCTGGGCGCTGATTTAGAAGATGCCCGTATTTGCTGCCATGAGCTCGACGACCTCCTTGAAATGGATCTGACAGCCGGAGACGCGGGAATTACAGATCTGACATGTCCTTTATTGGGAGAGGGATGGACTGATGGATTTTGTAAACCTGCGAACCCAAAGAGATTTCGAGGTGAAGGTTCAGTTGCTTTTCTCTCATGTCGTAATTGCCCTGAATGCAGCCCCGGGTGGGGCAGTTGTGCCAGCGCCAGTACAGCTGGATGATGCGGGCGGCGTGCAGGACGCGGCAGTAGCGGAGGCGGACGAGCCACATGCGGACCCAGGACTGCAGCCTGACGGCCGCCCACTCCTTCCGCGAGTACTCCCTGAGGGCCGCCCAGCGCCCCGCCTCGTGCCGACCGGCCAGCACCCGCCGCCACCAGCGCTGGATGGTGCAGGCGCTGAGCGCGGCGAGCAGCAGCGCCCGGCGCACCAGGGTGCCCCGCCACCAGGCCTGGACGAGCACGGCCGCCGCCCGAGCGGCCGCTTCCTCCGGTGTCTCTGCCTGAGCGGTCGGCATGATCCTCCTCCTTCTGGTTGGTTCTGAGGAAGCTGGTCAGGAGGAGAAACACGGGACACTTAGGAACCCGCGTGTCCGCCCTCAGGTGCGCCAGGAAGGCGCCCCGATCCTCTAGCAACAGACACCCCTGCCCCGGCTGGTGTGGCTCAGTGGATAGAGCATCAGCCTGTGGACTGGAGGGTCTCAAGTTCGATTCTGGTCAAGGGCACAGGCCCCGGTTGGGGGCTCAATCCCTAGTGGGGGGGGGGGGCGTGCAGGAGGCAGCCGATCAATGATTCTCTCTCTCCCTCTCCCCTCCTCTCTGAAATAAAAATATTTTTTTAAAAAAGCTTAAACCCTAGTAAAGACATCAGTACAAAGTTCCACGTGCACACATCACACATGTCACACATGCACACACGTGCACACATGCTCACACGCATCAACATGCACACATGTGCACATGTCACACATGCACATGCGTGCACACATCACACGTGCACACATTCACACGTCACATGTGCATGTGTGTGCACACACATCACACATGCACACACATCACACATGCACACACATCACACATGCACACACACACGCTCCAGCCCCAGTCTTCCTGCACATTGGCTTTTGCATTCCCCACACACAGTCCCCACCTTGTAGCTCCCAACCCCGTGGGCTCTGGGTTCACACTCTTTGGCCCCCTCCCCGGCACAAGCACACACCTTGGCCAGACCCTCATCGCTCAGCCTGAGGAGGAGACGGGGGGAAGGACAGCCAGTCCCCGCTCACCCCGGCTCTGGGCGCGGGGACCATGCACCCGCCGGCCTGGCACACCCTGGGCTTATGCCTCCCGTCCCGGTGTCATGTTGAGAAGTGCCTCGTGCACTCGCTGGCGTCTCTCGACAGCACATGACATGGGCATCCACCTTTGGGTCACTCCACCGGGCCGCGAGGGCCAGAGATGTGACCAGTCGAAGCTCTCCCCAGCCCAGTCGAGTCTGAGCCCCACGGAAGGAGGGTGGAGTCCCTTCTCCGAGCTCTTCCCCTTCTAGCTCTGTTCGAGCAATGTGATCTCAGCATGATCTCCGATGGGAGATCATGACGAAATGCGGAAGGTTTGCTAACTTTCTGTAATCAGCGTCTAGAGCGGTGGTTCTCAACCTTCCTAATGCCGCGACCCTTTAATACAGTTCCTCATGTTGTGGTGACCCCCAATTTCATTCTTACAAATTGAACATAATGAAAGCATCGTGATTAATCACAAAAACATATGTAATTATATATGTGTTTCCCGATGGTCTTAGGCGACCCCTGTGAAAGGGTCGTTCGACCCCCAAAGGGGTCGCGACCCACAGGTTGAGACCGCTGGTCTAGAGAGAAACCATGGGAAAAAGTAAAAGTGCCCTCCCCCTCGACTGGGTGCCAAGTCAACCCCACGCTCAGCTTCCTGCCTGTCCTAGGACCTCACACCTGGGGAGAACCGCCCCCCCCGCCCCCCGCCCCGGGGAACTCTGGGCTGTGCACGCCCTCGGAGAAAGCTTGGGTGGATCTGAAAGCAACTCACAAAATCTTAAACGCTGGCTCGGGACTTGGGCTAGATGGTCAGATGGCCTCAGATCTGCACTGAATTACCCATGGTCAGGGGTTAGATGTTCCCATCCCTCTCGGGTCCGTGCTTCTCCAGCCACAGCTCTGGGGGCAGGAGAGATAAAGGGGGAGAGCCATGACGTCACAAGGGCACCTGTGACTCAGCACCAGGACCTTGCCCAGCAGCAGAGCCGCTGGAGGAAAACCTAGGACACCTGTCCTTTCTCTCCTGGCACAGTGGCCAAACACTGACCCAGGGACACAAAAGTACGTCATGATACGCACTAGAGCCT